AAATAAAAAATTCTTCAAGGGGGGCAGAAAATTCCATGTTCAGATAGTCTCATATCATTGGATTTAGACGTTTTAGGGTCTTTGGAGGGAGTTGTGGGGATGGAAATATCCCACCCTGGCATTGACAGAGTTTGGACAACACCCAGGTAAATAGACCATAATATCATCTCCCCTATGCCATGTCTTTCTTGAAGGATTATGAAAAAAGTTAGACAAACACTACTGGGAAAGATAATTCTGCATGGACTTACTAAGATCCACTCTGGATGCTTTATAGTTCCATTTCCCCACAGTTTAGCATTCTTGTTTGTTAAGTCCACTGTATTGCCATCTTCTGGCAGGTATGATGAGCAGTCAGTTTTCTTCCAAAGTTGAGGTTGAAGAGTTGGGTGGCAATCATGGAAACAAATGGTGAGATATATTTAGTCACCCAGAACATCTTGGTCTTACTGAGGCAAATCATCAGCCCAATGGCCATTCTTTACTGCTCTGCAGCAAGAAACACTGACTGTGGGCTCCCTTGGCTACTTCTGGCCTCAAGAAGCATGGGTATCTATGCTCAGTAATTGCCAAGTGACACTTTTTTGTAATTGGAAAGGTGTAGAGGAATATAGTTGCGGCCTTGAGAAGGAGGAGAGCCAGTTCGGGGTAGTGGTTAAGGCATCAGGCTAGAAATCAGGAGACTAAGAGTTCTAGTCCAGCCTTGGGCACAAAGCCAGCTGGGTGACTTTGGACTCTTGGACACTTTCTCTCAGCCCTAGGAGGGAGGCAATGGCAAACCACTTCTGAAAAACCTTGCCAAGAAAACTGCAGGGTCCAGGCAGTTACCAGGAGTCAAGGCTGACTTGAAGGCACACACATGCACTTGAGAAGGAAGTGGGGAGGCAAAATGATTGCTCAGTCCTGGGAAAGTAGAAAGAATGAGAAAAAGACTCAGAACAGCCCCACCGTGATGTTGTCCTTAAAAACGGGGCAGTGAAGGTTTTGGACAAGCTTTCAAGATTCTATTAATGTACCCTACAACAATAAAGTAATATTCCTGTAATCCCTGTGGTGTCTGTTTCTTGACTTGATCACCCTGAATGGTAGACGAAAGGGTGTCTATATGATAAGCCGGACATCTGTTTAATAGTCTGGATATAACCAGAAGTTCTGACAGTGTAAATTGTTTAAACAGGCTTTGTCAGTACTAATTTTAGGCAGCGAAAGCATCTAAATTGAAAGGTTAAATAACTTTCTAATTATCCAGGAAACTTTAACATCACTCTGGGATATATAGTTCATTCTCATCCTTCCTAATGTTTAATTTCAGATATCAGCAAATTTAGATATTTAAACATACAATTCTTCACATTTCTTTTTGTAAGCCAGAGTTCATCATGCTGTTGCTCATAGGTAAAATAAATGCCCAATAATTTGAAGACTTTGTTGAGGTTTAAGGGATGTTGTGGTAGTGGGCATAACATTGCTTTGAATGGTTCAACATGATAGCATTTTTTTAGTTCTAAAATCTTGTCCAAAAATTCCTCTTGCTATATTTATACACTTTATACATAACATTTCATATGTTATGTGGTTTTCTCTAGCCGAGGCTGGCAAAATTTGTGACCTACGAAGATGCAAATGTCATCTTGGTGCCATGCAGGAAGAAAATATAAGAGGTGTCTGCTTTATATGACTCATGGACTGTAGAGTCATGCAGGCTAGGTCTGGAAACTCATATCCAGCTGACCCTAAACATGCTTTATTAGAAGTAAAATTGAATCTCCTATGGGTTTACTTTTGGTATAATTACAGTTATATATTTGCTCTTACAAATTTATGTAGTTTACTTTATTACTTATTACTTATGAAGATTTAGGAGTGGAGCTGCTCCTTCTGGAAAATTATCCTGATCCATGTCAGACACTCTGTCTTATAGTACAGTAATTGCTTTGGATAACTTTGCAAAATTTAGTTTAGTTGAAAGCCAGAGGCAGCCTAGTTTCAGTTTGCATGATAGAGATAAATATTATCCCAATTTGTGGTTGAGCTCATTCGGGTAATTGGATGACACAAATAGCCCGTTGATTCCTCCCTCCCCCAAAACGTTTCTGATACAGGATGGCGGTGGCAGCTGGGTTGTGGCTATTTTTACATCTCCAATTAATGAAAAGGAGACTGGAGGCTAACATTTCTCTCCCTACTTTCTGTCTTTTGTTCTGTTCCTCCCCGCTTCCTCATAAGGGGAAAATCCACAGTGACACAATCAGAGTAGGAGTCACCATGGACAGACTCAGGAAAAGAACTTACTAAATATGACCCCTTTTGGTCCCTGTTTGACCCTCTGGCCCATGCGGATTTCTTTATGGGGCCCCTCTGGATAGTCTGATGTCTGTCTTGAAAGTAAGAAGAGTTAATTAACAATTCTGTAAGTTTTCACCACACAGAAAAAGTTATTTATTTATTTATTTATCCAATTTATAAGTCTGCCCATCTAATAGGAAACTCTGGGCGGCAAATAAGATAAAAGCATAATATTCTATTAAAACCAAAAAAATCCAAATCAAAGGCCCAGTGAAATCTCACTTCCCACTTATCACATATCCCCATTCTGGCCCCATTGCCTGGGGGAAGAGGCAGGTCTTCACACTCTTCTGAAAGACCAACAGAGTTGGGGCCATCCATATCTTGTGGGGGGAGGGAGGCACCATGGCAGAGAAAGCATGCTTCCTTGGACCCATCAGGTGACACTGCCTCACAGAGGGTATCTGGAACATGCCCAGTTTGTTAGATCTGGTGGGATGGATGGAAATGATTAGGGATAGGAAGTCCCACATGTCATCTGGCCCCATGTCATGTAGGGCTTTAAAAATGACAACCAGCACCTTGAATTGCACCCAGTTCCCAGTTCTTTGATTGGAAGGAAAGTAGCCCCTAACAAGATTCTTCCCTAGGATACAATTAAGTCAGTTGTGCAGAGAGGGTCCAAGTAGCTTTCTTACGTTTTTCTGTAAATAACGACCGACACTATAGGCAATTCATTCTGAAAGCAGAGGGGCTTGAAGTTAGCTCCTTGAGCTGTCCAGGTTTCCAGCATGTAAAATCCCCTAATCTCTTGCTCGCATCTTGCATGTTCCTTGAAAAAAAAAGTTAGATTCTGTGAGTGATCTGTAGATACTGTTGCTAAAAAAAACAAGTTATGGCTGATAATCCAGTTGGAATTGATAATTCCAATATTGTATGGAAAACATGCAGACTTTTAATTTTCTTTGCAGCTCCCACACTGCATTGCAAAACATATTTTTTTTGTAGAAGATGTACAGCAGGAAGAAGGTGCTAGTATAGAAAAAGCCACGTGGGATGACCTTTTTTCCCGACTTTAGACAGTCAGCTCCATATCTACTTTGGTAAGGGAGCACCTTCACTCTTCCCATTTTCCAAACTCTTTGGGTCAGTGGGGTTCCCTTTCTTTTTTGTAATTAATGCACTCAGCTGCATACAAAGATATGCATAGTCAGCAGGGTTTGGTGTAGGGCTGGGGGGAGGCAGAGAACTTGTGTCCATGCTGCCCAGGGATTGCTGGGAGTTGTAGTTCAACCACGTCTGGAGACTCTTTTTTTACAAGCAGAAGAATCAGACTCAAAAAGTGAGGTATTTTGTGTGTTGATATCTTTCCCCTACTCCTGTTTCTTGGAAACAAGAAGAGCACATGTGCCAGGCCAGGGAAGTGCAGTCCAAGGCAGTGGCCTAGTAGAAAAAAAAAAGTCATTCTTTTCAGGGTTGATCAGGAGAAAGCACTAAAGCATTGCTAATTAATAAGCTAACAAAAAGAGTTCACTGACTGTAATGTTTGAAAGAGTGATTGAAAGTCGCAAGGGTACGACATCAGAAAGGATTTAGAATCAAAGCATCTGAGGCAACTGAAGAACTATTTATGCAGCCTGAGTAATGATTCTCAATTCTTCTTGCCCTTGGGATTAATACAGATTGGCTCAACAAAGAGAACAAATAAAAGGTGGTGAGAAGACATGTCAGTTTAAAGCAATGTGTACTTACTGTGACACTAAAGCTCATTTTGCTCAACATGCTCATTTTTTAATGATTTCTAGGTTGTTGGGAGATGCTCGACTGAAAATTAAAAAATATCTTGGTTTGGGTTTCAGCAGTTCAGGTAGAGGGTTGAACACCTAATGTTGTTTACCAGTCTGTACATGGAATCTTGTATCAGCTAATAGTTCATATCATTCAATTTATGGTTATACTTTTACTATAATGAAAGCAAGGAGAGCAGAATTCTTTGCATTGCTGGTCCCAATGGCATATAGTACACAAACGGTTCATGTAGTGGGCAGTAATTTACTACTTACAGGGAGGCAGTAGTGTCAAAAGTGGAAAATAATACTGTTTGTTTGCTTGTTTATTTGTTTAAACAATTAGGCTACAAAGCAAAGGAGTAGCCTTCAGCACTTTTATTTCCAAGAATATCTACAGCTAACACGTACCCCTTAATTTCTTAGAAAATAAAAAGGGAGGGCAGTTTGCACTTCAGCATTTGAGAATATCCAGAAAATGATGTAGAGCTCCTTCATTAAAGCTGTTTTGGCAATAAGCAAGCCCATCACTGATTTTCATGACATAGTCTCAAAATTGCATGCAAACAAAAATTAATGAGGCTTGTCTTACATAACAATACAAAAAGAGTAAGCAGATCCCAGGTACTATAACTTGCTGTAACTATGCTATAAAGTGTCCCTGGCAAATACTAAAAAAAATTACATGTTTATAAAATAATTCTGGCATTATTAATGATCTGTGGCTATTCTATCTAGACCAGCCCTCCTAACCTTATTGGTAATTGTGGGCACTGAAATCCAACATATTTTTATGTTTATAATGTGCTGTTATTTATGTACTGCTAATGTTCATGTTTTGATGAACATTTCTGGTAAGTGTAGAGAGGTTTCACATAAACTTTCTCCTACCAATGTATTTGTAACTTATAAAGTCCCTCCCCCCATATTAGAATTTTATTGTAGGTAAGGGGTATCCTCTCCGAAAGTGTGTTTTTACTTTTCTGACTGTGTGAACTAAGCTTAATCCTTTTAAAGAGGTGTAGCTGTGTGTAATGAGAGGGGGAGAGAGAGAGAGAGAGAAAGAAAAAAGAGCATGTTTATGACTGCCTTGTAGAATAATCACATGGAGAATTCTCTTCTTTCTTTCGACAGCTGGCTAAACCCTTTATTTGTTATTGGTCATAAACGGAAACTAGAAGAAGATGATATGTACAAAGTACTCACTGAAGATTCCTCTAAGGTGCTTGGGGAAAGACTGCAATGGTATGTAAATCCCAGTATCTCAGAACAGAGAATTCAATCTTTTTATTCTTTTCAATCCAATGTGAATAAAGGCAATCAAGACCAAATTCGGTATGGAGGAAGAAGCTGGCAAAATAAAGACTGAGGTTGAAAGTTAGTCCCTGGGGGAGAAATGTGTATGCATTACCACATGCACACACATACACAGACAAGACACATTACTTAGGTACACAAAAAAAATACAGTCACCTCCTATGGCCACTGCTGGTAAAGAGGTTAGAAAGAAGTCTAGAAACCATGCTCTGCAAGCTCTTGTTATTCTTCCCAACCCAATGGAATGTTGGAAAGTAATAATCTAAAGGGAATTAGGACTCTGCCTGCCCATCCTCAAGGAACCCTGCAAAAACCAAACAAAATGTAACTGGATTGGTATGGGAAAAAGAAAGACTGGGTTAAAAAAATTGGCAAGGGATTCAACTCAGATTTCTCCAGTTTGAACCATGGAGATGATCTTGGTGAAACTATCCAGAAACCATTAAGATAACAGGTGCCTAAGCATCCTTTGAGCCCAAGGTAAAGGGAAAGTATTAGAGGCTCAGACTAGCTCCCCCCCACCAGCTGTCTGGGGTATAAGAGGGAGAAAAGGGAAAATACAATCAGACTTGTACACTTCTGTTGTTATAGCCTTTCTCAATAAAGTATAGTTTTAGTCTTGTGGAATCTGTTTTCTGATCTGGGCAACTTTGAAGAGCTGATACCAATGCCTGCCTATCCCTGCAAGTCAGTTAGGTAACTGTGTGGAACATTATTGACTCCTCTGTTGTAAATCATCCTTCCTCCTTCCTGATCACATGACCCAGCGTGGTGCCCTTACTAGGGAGTTGGAAAGAATTTCAGAAGCTGTGCTCCTCATGTTTCTTTCCTTAACTTGTTATCACTGTACAGTTTGAATTTTGTCCCTTCGTGGAGAGAACCCTTTCCAGATCCAAGCATGGATGACAGGAGAAATCTTGTAGTGCAGATATCCTGTCTCATTTGTTTCTGGGTAAGGTAAAATCTCCTTGAGTTGAACTTGACTCTTGGTGAATTCTGTTGGGCTGGAAAATACAACGAGGGGAAGCCTGCAAAGTGTGGCTTCTGGAATCTTTACAGTGGCAAAAGTAGGGAAGTGCTTTGCCACCACCTGTTATTGATTTTTTTCAGATTTTCTAGTATAGTCTATAGCCCTTGGCCTCCCTTCTAAATATTCAGCAAATCTGAATCTATCTCAGCCCTTCGAGTAGGCAAAGTCAAGAAACAGGCATGGCAGGGATTCTAGGAATGCTCTTCATTGTGGTAGGGTAGAATCATGAAAGCTTGTCCAGATTTCTTTCTGCCCCATTTTATAGTGACAAAGTCAAGATGGGGGTTATTTTGAACTTTTTTTCTCATACTCTCCTGTAATCTTTTCACAAAGTCCCCCCTTAGCAGCTTGTTCATTCCTTCCATATCCCAAAGTCAGCTCTACGTTCCTTTGCAATCTGCTAAGCTTTATCAAGGTGAGCCAAGATTGGTTAGGAGCTGTCACTTCCTATGACTACTATCAATATGAATAAGCACCATGGACTTGCCTTGAAATCTTTGTACAAGTTTGTGTGCCTCTGTAATTCCTGACAGCAACTTCCCTTTGCTTGCTTCAAATAGGTTGTTAGGAATTATGGGACATGTAGCCAGCATATCTAAGAATACAAGGCTGGAAAGGGAAGTTTTAGAGAGATTTATGTTGGGCTGTATGTCACTGTAAAGTTACTTACCTATTTTGTGTCTTGATAATTAGCTACAAGAAACACCACTGATAAGATATATTGAATTCTTTATGACCCCTGCCATTTTTATTCTTGTGTTTTGAATTTATAGGTACTGGGATAAGGAAGTGCAAAAGGCCGAAAAAGAAGCAAGAACACCACATTTAACAAAAGCAATTATACTTTGTTACTGGAAATCTTATTTAGTTCTGGGTTGCTTTACATTGGTTGAGGTAACAGACTATAAGAGAAGTACTGTTAAAAAACTGCAAGCAAGAATTCTAAGCTGGATATATTAATTTGCTTATCCCTTGCCTAATGACGTAACATTTCTAGAAAATTTTAAGCAACAGGAAAAAAATGAAAAAAATGGGGAAATGAAAATGTATACAATGCTTCCTTTCTAGCACCCTTTACAGATATAAAATGATGCATAACCTATTTATACATACATTAAATTGGTTTTATCATAGAAATATGTTTGGCATATACAGTTGAAAAATATGTGTTTTCAGACAATATTTATAAATTCATTGAATTTACTTTTTAATTTTTGTTACAAATGGACTTACAAACCATTTTAATACTAAGGGTTGTAATATCTCTATATTATGCCAATTTAGAAGAAGTAGACAAGCAAAAAATTGATCCTGAAAACAAACAAAAACCCCCACATCAACAACTCAGTGATTCTGGATTTTGTACTCCATTTTATCAAACTGATAACAGTGCTAGTTTTAAAAAAAGTGATAAAGGGAAGGACCATGCTCCATGAAAGATTATCTAAATACAGGTGTTTTTATTGTCTAAACCAGGGGTGTCCAACTTCAAAGGGCTTTAGGGCCACAATTGTATCCATGAGTTATTGGCACCGTCTAACTCAACCAGTTTTTGTTGAATTACATAAAAATGAGAAAAGGTTACAATTCTGAAGTAAAGATGAATTGATAATTCATGGAACTTTACTGTTGACTGCACAGTAGCATCAGCTGGAGCTATGATAATTTCTTTCTTTCACATCGTAAAACTAAAACTCATCATTTCTTGCTAACAATATTAATTTTAATAAAATAAACTACATTTTCATAATAACCTCACAGGCCGCAAAAGAAGGTCCCATGGGCCGCACACAGCCCACGGGGCTCTAGCTGGACTCCTCTGATCTAAACCATTATATTTATCTTTAAAAGAGAAAATACTAAGAAATAATATGGGAAGGGTATCTATCTGTCAGCCTGCCTGCCTGCCTGCCGGTCTGTCTGTCTGTCTGACATCTACCTGTCCGTCTGCCCACCCATCCATCCAGAAATGTTCTCCCCCCCCCCCCCCC